AAACTATTAAATATTTGGAGACCTAAATGTAACCGAGCAATAATTATCTAACCAAGAACGATGCCATTCGTTAATGACTCAGCGAGACTCGCCCAGTATTTACCGACATTAAATAATACAACTAGGGTAACAAGTCATAAAATCAAAATATCGAAACAAAACCAAACCTAACGCTGTGTTATAATAAGGGGAGAAAATTCATTCACGCGCTGAATTATATAATCATATTATAATTCCTTTTTGCCCCCTCTTTTAGTTAGTAAGTTAGCACATGCGTTACGTCCTGCCCTGCCCTGCCCTTACCTCAGATAAATGATGGATCAGTGTTTGGATTTAATGCGAAAAAAATAAAGCCTATATAATAATAAAAAAAGAAAGAAAGATAAAAACGATAAAGCTCTCATGCGTTTCACGTCTGCTTCAGTGAAGTTAAAACCTGGTCATTTTTAATTTTTCATTTGTCCTTACTTCATAAATAACGACCGGTGTTCTTACTCATGTTTGTTATTTCAATATTTTTTTTTAACGTTGTGTAACTCATATATTTCATTATGCAGTAGAAGAATTTCAGCGGGCATTTTATCGTTGTGGAACTCGCAAATAACTTATTCAGTCATTAACTGATTAACATAATACATAATTACGAATCATCCTGTATTAAAATAAGAAAGCCGTGAAATGTTCACAAGTAACGGGAGTAAAAATAGATATAAAATAATATATAATGAAGAACATGTTCAATGTTTTATTATTTATGTGCAAAAGAAATAACTTTGAACTAAATTGATAAGTATTGAGTTCAATGTTGGTGGTTTTGAAATGCTAATGGTGAGATCAACCGTTTTCATCCAGGAAACAAACGGTATTCACTGCACCGAACAGTTAGCATTATCTCAGGTGTAGTATTCAGAAGTAGTTGAGATCTCTCTTTCACCCTTATTGAGAATGGAACAATCGACTGTTGATATAAACAGTTGATTTTTTTCCACGTGTATTGATAAAGTGTAATAAAGGTTATCTTTAAGTTTATTTATCGGGCTTTCTGTTTTAACTACATCGGGATAAACAGGTTTCTCGTGCCCACTAACTGCCATTGCTCCTTCTAGTAATGAAGGTTTCCTTAGTAATCTTTTGTTTCAAGTAGTGTCAAAATCCAACATCTTATGTCATTATTGTTTCTTCTTCTGACCTGCACTAGCCATTTTATCGTTTTGTTTCTGTTGAAAAACTTCAGTTATTATGGTTTCCCCTATTTGGCACATTTCTTTGTGATTCTGTGTAGTCTGTCCACGATATTTGATGTATGGTTTTCTCTAAGACTTTCAGGACTCATTCACTGGAAGCTATTCTAATCATTGATCTGAGAAAATGGTTGTGTTTAGCTGACATTTCTGTGCAAGTAGGACGCCATGCGTGACATTGTTATGAGTGACTCGATCTAACGAGGCTATTTAAAATCATGAGTCGAGTTCTTAGGTTAATGTAGCCTCTTGTAGGATTTTTATCATCTTACTTCGTAAACAAAACTACTCCTAGTGCAGCTTATTCTATTTCCAATTTATTTATCTCCTAGATAAGATTGCTTGGATGTTAAGTGCACCTGTAACGGGGTTCCACTTGACTTGTGTTAATGTAAGTCACCCGTTGTTATTTGAAGCAGTAGTTGATAGAAGAATCCTTTTTTTTATTTTTTATATTGAAAATGAAATGAATAAAACGTACAACAATAACAGCAATGAGGCCTTGGGACACGTGTTGAAATTAATGACAAGAATGTCTATTTTTCTTTTCCTGATGCCAATTACAATATTGGTATTGTTTCTGTGAAAAATGTTCTCAGTGTTATTATATCTTCTGTTTCTTTAAAAGTTTGTGCTTACTTGATTTTGCTTGTTTCGAGAATTTTGTTGTTGAGGGTAGCGTTTGAGACCGTTAACTGTGTATTTTACGGAGCGAAGAAGAGACGCCTGTGTTGTTCTTTTCAATAATGCTACTATTCTACTCTATTGCCCTGACCCTAGTGTTCTTCTTGTGGTGAAATGGTCGTTTTTATAATGATGAATTTTTAGATTTTTAGGATGATGAAATATCATCATCATATATCATCACTAGTGGCCAGGTTTTTTTAGATGATGAAACTTTTTACACTGTTTACATTATTCGGACTATTGTCCTCAAATTTGTCGCCATATTTATTACAACGTTTTGGCCGTTGTACGCTCCGGCTTTCTTTAGGTGGTTGGAACTGAACCTTTTATTTCGCTCACTCAAGGACACATGGCACAGTGGATAAAGGCGTTGGTTAGATCCAGTGACAGGACCCAAAGAGTGTGAGTTCAATACCCGGTTAAGGCAGTGGAGAACTTGGAGAGGGGAATTAACAGGATATAACTGATAACTGACATCCATTAAACATGGCACGTGGAACTAGAACAGTCTACCCCAGGGAGCGAAATGAAGGGTTCAGTTCGACATTCCAAACATCTGAAGAAGGGCGGAGCGTACAACGGCCAAAACGTTGTAATAAATATGGCGACAAAATAGTCCGAATAATGTAAATAGTGTACATAATACCACATCTCAGAAATATTGACAGATACTGATGAAATTTTTGTCTTTATTTCCAGGATAGTGAAATATTCTTATCATTCATCACTTGTGTAAATATTGTTTTTAGAATGATGAAATATCATCACCATTCTGGATTTTAACACACCATTCAAGGTCTCTTCCGGCCAAAACATTGGTGTCTCGGTGTGAACCAATGTTTAGCGAGATGTATGACCTTTACTTATATTTGTGTCTAAAATGTTCAGTAAATCAAAAATAAGTTTTTAACTACGTGATTTTTGTTTTGTTTTCAAGGTTGGCGTAGCCATTGTATGGCGGCTTTATTCTGCTAACCTTTGCGTTGAATTAACTTTGACTTAAAATAATCGCTAAGATTTAATGGAATCCCAGATGAGGCTTTCTATATCTGACCAACTTAATACTGATTTGTTAAAAATAAGCGAGAGATTAAACAGAATATAAAAGCTCACATCGCCACGAGTTACAACAGAAACCACAAAACTTACCTTATTTCTTTTGTTTCATTGTTCTTGCTGAAGGTAGGGGGGTGCGAGTAAGAAACGTAAAGTTTATCTGGTTTCTTTAGTTGAAAATTAAATGGACGCCGAATGGACTGTTATTTGATATATATTTTTTCGGAGTCTGTCTATATTTCTGAGATGAGGTATTATGTATATTATTAACATTATTCGGACTATTGTCCTCGTCTTTGTCGTATTTATTACAACGTTTCGGCCGTTGTATGCTCCGGCCTTCTTCAGGTGGTTGGAATGTCGAACAAGACACAAAAATGCTAGGCCACAAAAATCTCCTGAGCCGACCAAGCATAGAAATAAATACAATATGGGAACCAGTAATAAGGAGTGCCAGAGAAAAGCAATGATAACAACAAAAGTTGCAATATGAGCGCTGGTAAAAACATGCAATGACAACAGCAAAATTGCAATATGAGCACTGGGGAAAATGGTTTTTGCAGACATTAGGTTTATAATACCAAGAAATTCATACCCAGATATCTTCAAAGACACATGACACAGTGGATAAAGGCGTTGGTTAGATCCAGTGACAAGACCCAAAGAGTGTGAGTTCAATCCCCGCAGTAAAAAATTCGATGAAATGGCATACGATAAATAGACATGAATTATGTCTACGCAGAAGAAACCTTAAAATCGAAGCTAAGTTGCTCTTAATAACAACCCAAAACAACATCACAAGGATCAACGATTTATCAAGGGAAACAAAACACAGGAAAACAGCAAGTGTAAACTGTATGGTTAGTTGAAACTGTGAACAACATAATCAGCCGATGTTGGTCAAAATGAATACATTTATATTATGCAGACCTGTTGGTCAAGAATAAGTCCTAGAGAATGAAACGCATAACATCCATGTGGCGTTGAAATTCAACAGGACCACAGACACCGGCTTCTAAACAGACCAGAACAGGGTAGGGGTAAACAAGAAAAGATCCAGATAATAGTTGAAATTCATGCACAGATGTCCTCAAGGATAAGTGGATAAAAGCGTTGGTTAGATCCAGTGACAGGACCCAAAGAGTAGGAGTTCAATACCCGGTTAAAGCAGTGGAGAACTTTCAGAGGGAAATTAACAGGAGATAACTGATAATTGACCTCCATCAAACATGGCACGTGGAACTAGAACAGTCTACCCCAGTGAGCGAAATAAAGGGTTCAGTTCGACATTCCAACCACCTGAAGAAGGCCGGAGCATACAACGGCCGAAACGTTGTAATAAATACGACAAAGATGAGGACAATAGTCCGAATAACGTAAATAATGTATATTTTTTCGATTTAAAATTCTTTTCAGGGTGCGATTTGAGGAAGTGTTTTATCTTTTTTACTACTGTTTATTGCTTTTCAATCTAGCTGGAAATGGTAGTTTTAGTTTTCTACATAAGCAATTGTTTTCTTTATAACCTTTGAGCACGAACATAATATAGGCGGTTTTGCTAATTTTATACGATCATGGCTAACAACTTGATATTATTTCTGATCTGAAGAACTGTTATTAAATTCTAGTTCAGCACGTAAGATAAGAGTTAAATGAATGGTGTAGGTCATAATGTTGATATTAGCGTCACTTATGAGAAGGAGGAGAAGGTGGGTGATGTAAATATTCTGATTCTATTTACTAACGTCAGAAGGTCTAAAAATTCTGAGAAAACTATTGAAATCGAAATAAATCACGTATCGATTTATAAGGCAAACCTGTGGAAAAAAAAAAGGCTTAGAAAGTATAAAGCACCCGAGGGTGAACATAAAATTATTTATTATTGCTGTTGTTGTTATTGTTGTTGCTGTATGACGAAACAAAAAATCTTGATACTGATTTATTCAAAAGATTTGCGTCGGTTGATTTTGTATGTTAAGTGAGTTTTCTTTTCATTGACTGATTCGTTTTCTCCGGCTAATCTAGCCATTGCAGGTTTCTTTGAGCCGTGCAGGAACCTGAAGAAGAAAAGAAGAGAGAAAGGAAAAGAGGAAGAGAAATGAAATAGGCGAAGGAAATTTCGCTGAGAAGGAGAAGAAAAGAAAGAAAAAAAGATTTAATGATGAAAGAAAAGAAGCTAACAAAAAAGAAAAAAAAAAGCATAAAAAGAAGACAGATGAAAATTTAGCTGAAAGAAATGTAGTAAAAAAAAAAAGAAAATATTTTTAGATTGTAAGATATTTTATTTGTAGATAATAATGAGTCAGTGATACAAGGTTTACTAATTAATCGATAATTGGATCCCTTCGGTTATCGATTAATTAATAAGCCTTGTATCACTAGGAAGAGGAAGATCTGTACCTTTCTCAGGGGTATTTGCATGTAAGTGAATATAACGAACCCAACTGGAATTAGAACTCGGTTCTCCCATTAACAATTCTGAGCCATTAGCCATTACACCAGCCGTACAGCCAAGCCTACAGTACCTGGTATTACCAAGACGTCATGTTAAGCGTGTTTGGGATATTTAATGCCGAAAAATATTATTATTATTATATTTGGTGCTATCGCAATTTACTTATTTCTGGGTTAGGTAACTATTTGTTGTTTAATGTTTGAGTTTATACACATTTACTTCGTTAGTTCATAAGTAAATAATGGATGCATTTACTTTAGTCCTTAAGCATTTTATTGCTTCGAGAATAAGTAAAAATTGCTTATTTATATTTGCGGCTATAAGCATTTTATTGCTTCGGGAAAAGGTAAAAATTGCTTATTTATATTTGCAGCTATAAGCATTTTATTGCTTCGAGAAAAGGTAAAAATTGCTTATTTATATTTGCGGCTATAAGCATTTTATTGCTTCGGGAAAAGGTAAAAATTGCTTATTTATATTTGCGGCTATAAGAATTTTACTGCTTCGGATATATGTGAATACTTGTGGTCTATATTTGAGTTTATAAATACTTTATTGCTTCAGAAATAGGAAAGCAATGGTCGTTTCAATTTGAGTCGATAAGTATTTTATTGCTTCAGGTATAGGTAAATATTGGTTGATTATATTTGAGCCGTTAAGGATTTTATTTCATGGGGAATAGGTAAAAATTGCTCATTTATATTTGGGTCTATAAACATTTTATTTCTTCCGGAATAGATAAATAATGGTGGTTTGCATATGGGTTTGAGCATTTTCTTGCGTCTGGAAAATAGGTTTGAACTGGTGGAACTAAGGAATATAGTTCGCCTGGGCACTTTCCATGGAATTAACTATAAAGCAGTGAGTGTTTTGTAACATTTCGTCTGTGAGAAAGTGATTGTTGAGAGGAAAACTTGTCACCCACAACGTAGCGAAGACGCTTTTGAACTCCATCGAAATTGGAAGGTGAAGGTTGCGCAGCTCCTCATCCATATATGGTAAGAGTACTCCATGTTCGACCTGACCTGGCTCTTGTAAAGGTAGAGGATGGCGGTAGGAATCAGTTACTTATTGGAGCCGTGCAGGAACCTGAAGAAGAAATGAAGAGAGAAAGGAAAAGAGGAAGAGAAATGAAATAGGCGAAGGAAATTTCGCTGAGAAGGAGAAGAAAAATTAAGATTTAATGATGAAAGAAAAGAAGATAACAAAAAAGAAAAAAAAAAGCCTAAAAAGAAGACGGATAACAAATTTAGCTGAAAGAAATGTCGTAAAAACAAGAAAGAAGAAGAATTCCTTCACCCGAACCATTTTGGATGTCTTCATGAAAATGCGGAGACCTTTACAGGAACCACGCATGAGGAGGAGGAAAAAAAGATTAAAAACAAAAAGAGAATGAGGTGATGAAGATGGAAGACGTGAATTTGACAATAACAATCTGACGGGTGCTGGAAAGTTCCTGGCTTTGACCCATATTCCAAAATCATAACAAATAACCAAACATGTTTATTTTTTTACGTTTTTTTTTTACTTTTTTTTTTTTTCTTTACGTGTTAGTGGGTAATCATTTTTGCCAGGCTGAGGACTGTTCAGAGTTACATCGTAGAAGATGAAAGAAAAATAGAGACGAAAGAAAAACAGCATGAAAAGAAGGATGATAAACATATTAGAGAGTGAGTGAGAGAGAGAAAGAGTAGTAAACAGAGATAAACATTAAAAGAAAAAAAGATGACTTTCATGATGAGGGTAGATTTTTTTCTCGGTAGACTTTATTAAAGCGGCCTTTTTCTGTTCATGATGATAGCGATAACAATGTTTTTGCTTGAAGCAATAATAACGTTAGCAGGATGTGGAAACCTTTGTATTGCTGGTAATGGTTCTAAAGGCGATGCCCGTGATGGTGATGACCATGATCATGATAGCTATGGCGGTGGTCGATTCATTATTTTTGTTGGGATAACGATGATAATGAGGATTGTAGTCATGCCGATCGACAAGAAAGAGATGCGGGTGTTTTGTAGCTTAACTGAGAATATTGGAAAAATGAAGTCAAGAAAAAAAACAATGATTGCTGATCATCGAGACAAATTAGCAGACATATCTAAGATATTTGTCTGTAACATCCATTTTGTTGTCTCTTATTTGATGTGTCATGGTCAAGCGTGAACGAATCCATCGTCAACATCAAATAAGGAAGTAGAAAAAAAAGATGTTTTTAAAAGGTAAAAAAATAATTTAGAACGTGTTACAAAAATATGAAATGAGCCTCAGATTCATTCCGAAATGCATTTTGGATTTTTCCTCGGGTTAATTTTTATGCTTGGTACATTAATATGAATAAACAATGTTTTATTAATTCATGTTATTTCTATTGTTAATTTCTTTGTTTTCTTTTTCTTTTTCGAGTCGGCGGGAGATTAGGCCATTGAATTATTTTAGTCGGCAAGTCACGAAAAGGAGAAGGAATCTCAAATAAATAATTAATTTATTATCTTAATTATTTTTAATTCATTTTACAATGGCTGGTTTCGTAAAAGTAAGTTAATGTAAAAAGGGGGATAGATGTTTAGAGGCTTGTAAAGAGTAATCACTGAGCCAAGATTGAATTTCTTGCTTTCTCCACTCAATTATCGATAAAATAATACAGTAGACTGGACTGTTTTGGCCTTGGGTTTAAGAGAAGGATTGTTGCGTGTGTTGAACTCTTTAGCTTGAAGAAACGTGACCGTTAAACGAAATAAAAATCCTGAGAGAAAACCAACCTTCCTCAGAACACAGAGACTGGGTGTTGGGCCAATCACCACACCCAGTGGAACAATTTGATCAAATAAACAACATAGACAGTATTTGCCACGAGGCTCCAGGTAGATTATTATTATTATTATTATTATTATTATTATAATTATTAAAAATTCCCTTGAATTTATGCTGTGTATCATTTTTATTCTGGGTCCCAACCAAAGATCTTAGTTCAGAAATGGCATTATGATATTTTCACTGAACATTATTGAACTTAAGATGGCACACAGTTTACATTGATAAAGCTCTTCGTCAGGTGTGAGCTCTGTATGTGCGAATATTATCTTTGCATTTCTTTAAGGCATGGACTACCAGAGATCTCTTCAATTAATCTATCAGAGCCTTTTCTAATCAAATCGAGGGCACCAACCACAATTAAAATTATCAATGTTTTCATGTGCCACATTCTTGAGATTTCTACTTCAATATACTTGTATTTTAATAATAATAATAATAATAATTGTTTTATTTCCTTTGATTTCTGGTGTAGACTCATTTCTATCCGGGTCACGACGAGGGACCTAATGTCAGAAATGGTATCATCACATTTTCCACTGAGCAGTTTTGAAAAAAAATGTCATTATTATTATTATTTAATATTATATTTTTGTTTGTTCAAAACTAATAGACCCACCTCTGGTTGATCGTACAAATATGCTAAGTGGACCAGAGTAGCTATTCAGTTTTAAATGAACCAAAAGGAGTTGCTAAGCCTTAAAACAAAACAACCAAATCATCATCTGGCATGAGCAGAAATTTGAACTTCGTCCACAATGACTTGTGACTCATATATATATATATATATATATATATATATATATATATATATATATATATATATATATATATATTTATGTATGTATGTATGTATGTATGTAGAGATAGACAGATAGATAGATAGATAGATAGATAGATAGATAGATAGATAGATAGATAGATCAGAACAGATAAACATAGATAGATAGATAGATAGATAGATAGATAGATAGATAGATAGATAGATAGATCAGAACAGATAAACATACATAGATAGATAGATAGATAGATAGATAGATAGATAGATAGATAGATAGATAGATCAGAACAGATAAACATAGATAGATAGATAGATAGATAGATAGATAGATAGATAGATAGATAAGCATGTCCCATTAAACAATTTAGACATTTTGCGTTTGTTTATTTTTAATAAGATCCTTTCGTAATCACATCTTTGTTGTTTCGTGACTAAAGAGTGCAAGGAAGGTATGATTTTATTTTTCCGACTACTTTCGATATATTCACAACATCATCTTTAGGGTTATTATGGCTCGGACAATTAGATGTACGTCAGAAGTAAATTTTTGTCTTTGTGGTCAAACGCTTAAGAATTCTGATCATGCAGAAAGCCACAATTGGTAATTTTTTAAATTTTTTCCTTATCGTAAATTTTTCCTTATTGTAATGTAGAAACGGTAACTTAGTTAAGAAATGAATCCTCGTTGTAGGTTTTAGGTTGCTTGTTTTTTTTTAAAGAAAAACTGTTTAAAACGTTTAATTTTAACGAAGATATTTATATATATATATATATATATATATATATATATATATATATAATTGAGAAGTATATTAGTCAACAATAACCGTATACTTCACCAAAAACGTAATAAAGAGAAACTATGAATTCTCAAAGCCATCTTTATTAAAAATTAAAACCAAAACTTAACAAAATTAATTAAAAAAACATGTCTAAAATGATTAATCTGACATGCTTAAATGAAGATATGCTGCCAAATATACAGAATTTACATATATATATATATATATATATATATATATATGTGTGTGTGTGTGTGTGTGATAAATGAGAATGTCACTGTGTCACACTTTTTCAACTTTACTTCTAAAGGGACACAACTGTGTAATTTGCAATAGCTCATGTTCAAATGAAAAAATTACTGTTCTCAAATTAGTTTTTCTAAATAAAATTTCCCGTCTTTTCTCCTTTACTTCTAAGGCCGTAACCCATCATATCATACTATTTTGGAACCAGGCCGACTCCATAAACAAATAAAAAAACTAAAAAATAAAAAACACATTTCGACCCGGATCCTAACCCACAATCCTTAAATTTTGGATTCCCAAGTTTTCATGACTGTGATTATTTTCGTTGATTTTTTTTAAATGATTTCTTTGAGACGATTTTTTGGGGTGCGATGACAATTTTTATAACTTGGAAATACATTTGGGAATAATCGAAATTAACTGAGAAATCCACCCATGAAATAAAAATAATTGTTTGTACAGAAAGGAAGGACCAATGTACATCAAATTGTATTAAAATCAAGTATTGGCAGAAGAATTATCGTTGAACTTTTAAAGGTAAGCTTAAACATTGATGCTCTACGTAAATTGAGCGATCGGTATTGTGTTCTTCTGTAGTTTATTGTTGCCTATTGCATCTACTCCTCTCTATCTACTGTGATGAAGGCCCAATAAATATCCCTTCACTGCCAATAGTTAGTATATATATATATATATATATATATATATATATATATATATATATATAGGGTATATGAGTAGGAATTTTTCGTTTATGAAAGTTTCAATAAAAACCAGAACATGTTATCTTTTGATTATTTTTTATTTATCTTTTCAACATATCTATAAACTTTCTGCTTTGATGCAAAAGGAATCTCTGTTAATTTTAACGCCCCCAGAACGAAACTTCTTTCTATTAATCCTCCCATTAGGATGGCTGATGGTAACCTCCAAGTGAGTGACTCGTTGCACCTTCTCAGGCTCTACATACTAGGATGGCATGATGTGGAAGCATTATATTGAATCAACAATGTTGGCTCACTCTGTCATACTAGACATTTTCCCGCTAGAATATATCAAAAATATAGTCTAGTGTTTGTCTATGCTTCAAATATTGTTGCCAAATATTTTCCCGGTGCATCTGCTAGAGATATATGGATATTCTTGATGAAATTCAAATCAAGAATCAGCAACATTGTTAGTTATGTCCTGACAGCTCTGTTTCATTCACTTCCCCACCGCCGTAATGTAGCTTCCCTGTGCCTTATCTGTGATCAGATAGGTAAATAAATAAATAATTACATAAATAATTAGATCGGTTACACAACCACATGCTTATCCAGACGTCTTACGTTACACCTATCTGATCACAGCTCCATCAGAACCCATTTAAACGCACACACAAATTTACCAGACTCTATTAGGAACATACTAGTAGAAAACACAAATATATTAACTGCATCCACCTGCAAAAAAAAGACTAAAAATAATGGAAGCTTTAATAATAAAAAAGAAAAAGCCAACTCTTAACAATATTAACTACGAACAAAACCACAATGTGCTAACCGTATTTGGAAATTAAAAACATCCCTGCCACGCACTAATACATATACAGAACGCACACACTCAGTTAAGTTGAAAAATCGAATTATTGATAATGGCTAAAGGTATAGCCGAAAGCGCTCAGAAATATAAAACATTTGGACAGTTCATCCATACCCTTTGTCCAGAAAACAAAGCTCTTGTCAGAATACAAGAAAAATTAAATAAAAAGCTCAACCGTAGTACCTTGTCTGTCGTTTTTAATGAAACATGCATAAAGGAAGGATTGCTGCCTAAATATACAACTATATATATATATATATATATATATATATATATATATATATATATATATATATATATATATATATATGCAACAAATAAGTTTCATAAAAGAGAACCGACAAGGTATTTGTGTTAAATTTATTATTATTTTTTTTCCTTTTTTCGGATAATGTGTTCAGTATTGTGCTCGAAGTTGTGGATAAACTTTCCGAAGTTCATACTTTTGAACTTCGCAGTCATTATCAAGAATCAATATGGCGTCTGCGTGGTTGTTAGAATTCCCTTGTTTACATCGTTTGTCTATCATATTCGCATTGAAAAATAAATAAATCGCATTCATTTTGTGCGGCCACGTTCCCAATAGGCGTTACACATGACATCACTCTAGATCATTTCAGACTTTCAGCTTCCCAAAGAATACCAGCATAATGACATGTACATAACACGTAGAAATCAAGGATATCTATCGAACAAGACGGGTGCCAAAAATGGTAGGAAAATAATTATAACTGAGAGAGAGATTGGAAGGGACACAATATTTACCTTGTAGTGAGTACACACTTCATATTTGTATTTTATCGTTGATGAAGCAGATTATGAAAGCGACAGAGAATAGAATAATTTCAAGTGATGGTGATGTCCAGGATATTATTTGTTTTCTTCCTGATAAACCTACTGATATAGTTCACAATATCATGTTCAGTGACATTAATGTCGCTATTGTATTGTTATTAACGACTGTGACGACGAAGCAGTATGTAGAAAGGTGAGAAACTTCACTGCTATTGTTCATTAAGATGACGTTCTGATATAAAGAATGCGAAAAGAGCTGATATATATATATATATATATATATATATATATATATATATATATATATATATATAAACTATTTATTTAAAAATTATAACATAAATATGTTATAAAATCACTACAAAAATAGCCATTTTGTTTCAACACCTACGGTGTCTTATCAAGCGATGATGTTGAATGTAAAATAAATGGTTTTAAAAGTTTCAAATTAATAAACGATCCTTCGTAAGGGGAAAACAAAAGCTATAATGATGAATCAATATATATATATATATATATAAAGAGAGAGAGAGAGAGAGAGAGAGATGGGGAGAAAGTTCTGTTGTTGTTGGCAGACTGATATATTCATGTTGATTGACTGCTTTTATCTTATCTCTCTCTCTCTCTCTCTCTCTCTATATATATATATATATATATATATATATATATATATATATATATATATTAATGCCTCGTCACTTTTTCTCTTTTCCACGACATCAACGAATTTGCACATCATAAACACCGTTGATATGAAATTTTCAAACTTCCCCTCACCGATTAGTTCCAATATATCCCAGTATTCAATTATAATTTATCCTTTTCCATACCAAATACAAGTGCGGCATGATTAAATTATTTCCTGAGTCCCGCCACCCCGGGAACAATGCTTATTTGATGCGGCATTCTTATTGTATTTGGCTAATTTTCTTCGCGGCACGATTATTCTGTTACACGTTTATTAAAGTTATCAAATAAAATACTGAGCGGAATGTTTATTTGAATTGGCACACTCAATTATAGCATGACTACTCGTCACTTGTATTTGGTACAAAAGAATAGTTTTTATTTGAGCACTCTTTTCTATGTCTATATCGTTCCATCTCTATCTCTCTATATCTACCCTCTTTCTCTTTTTCTCTCTTTTTATCTCTTTTTCTTTCTCTTTGTCTCTCTTTTTCTTTCTCTCTCTTTCTCTCTGTCTTTTTCCCTTTCTCTCGCTTTCTCTCTCTCTCTCTCTTTGTCTCATTGCCTCTTTTTGTTCATATTTTCTTTTGAATATTCAATTTTATTTTCGTGTATCTGTTTAATTTTCCTTTTATCTGTGAGTTTATTTAAAACCCTAAGTCTACCATTTTTCTTCTTCTAAATCATATCCCAACCCTTGACAACTAATTGAATGCTAAATAACGTTATTAAATAACTCACACAGAAGTTTACACAGTCCAGCAATATATGCTGTGCCGTAAATCTGTCTTGGTATGGTTTGGTTTGGTCTATTTTGTTTAACGGCATATCAACCTCAATGGGTTATTTAATGCCGACAAAAAATTTTTATTGCTGGTAATATTTTGTTTTGTCAAAAATCTGTTTCTGGTAATATATTTCCTTCAGTATTGTGTTGCTGATAATATTTTTTTTTCAGTAATATTGCTGGTAATAGTTAACTATTTTCCCATAGCTGGGACCCTAACAGATGCTACCACTCCGGATCATGGTGGACATGGAAACACCTGCTATTAAGAGGTGGTTCCACGCTCCCAAAACCTCCTGATCAGACGCCTTGCTGCTGGACGTAGTTTAACATCTTACCCAGGACGCGGATGTAGTTTAACGTCTTACCCAGGACGATGTCTTGGCACGTAATGCAAGCAGAAACCCCAACATGTACTACATGCCAAAACAGATTTACGGTAAAACATATATTGTTGAACTCTGTAGTATTTGAC